ACAGCCTGCCCCAAAATTCCCACCCCCACGTGGCTCCCCACCCCTCCAGCCCCTCCATGCCCAGGGAGCTCCCGAGAACTCACCGTGTTCCGTGTCAGTTCCTTCCCAGACACCCTGGAGGCAGGAGACACGTCCCCGTCCTCGTTCTCGGCGCGCCCGTCCCCGCACGTGACCACGGCGAGCGAGAGCGAGCTCAGCACCACGGCCACCGAGCTGCTCCAGGACTACATGATGACGGTGGGGGCCTGGCCAGGCTCTGGGACCGGGACCCTCGGGGTGCTGGGATGATCCTGGGATCTGGGACCGGGACCCTTGGGGCGTTGGGATGATCCTGGGATATGGGACCGGGACCCTTGGGGCGCTGGGATGATCCTGGGATATGGGACCGGGACCCTTGGGGCGCTGGGATGATCCTGGGATATGGGACCGGGACCCTTGGGGCGTTGGGATGATCCTGGGATATGGGACCGGGACCCTTGGGGCGTTGGGATGATCCTGGGATATGGGACCGGGACCCGCGGGGTGCTGGGATGATCCTGGGATATGGGATTGTGGCCTCAGAGGGAGGGACAATCCCCTGAGGGGTGTAGGAGCAGCTCGACCTCCTCCTTCCCAGCCAGGCTGGGCCTGGAGGGCCTGACTGTGGGCTCGTGTCGTGGAATCTTGGAGTGGTTTGGGTGGGAAGGGAACCTACGGATCATCCAGTTCCACCCTGTGCCGTGGGCAGGGACACCTTCCCCCCTCCCAAGTTTCTCCAAGCCTCGTCCAACCTGGCCTTGAACAATTCCAGAGGTGGGGCAGCCACAGCTTGTCCCAGAAATCCACTTCAGTCCCTCACCACCCTCACAGCATTTCTTGCCAATATCCCATCTAAATCTCCACTTTTCCAGTGGGAAGCCATTCCCTTTGTCCTGTCCCTCCATCCCTTTGTCCCCAGTCCCTCTCCAGCTCTCCTGGAGCCCCTTCAGGCCCTGCCAGGGGCTCTCAGCTCTCCCTGGAGCCTTCTCTTCTCCAGGGGAACCCCCCCAGCTCTCCCAGCCTGGCTCCAGAGCAGAGGGGCTCCAGCCCTGGCAGCATCTCCGGGGCTTCCTCTGGACTCTCTCCATCTCCCACAGGAGCATCCCCCACTCTGTCTCCTTCCCCCTGTCCAAAGTCATCCATATCCCAAAGTCCCAGCCCCAGCAGCACCCAGAGCCTGTCCCTGCTTTCCCATCGGGATGAGCGGGTCCCTGGCTGCAGCCGGTGCCATTCCCAAGCCTCCCCCCCATTCCCAAGCCCCGGTGCCATGAGTGCTGTCCCCCAGCTCCGGACCAAGCTGTCCTCCCAGGAGATCCAGCAGTTTGCCATGCTGCTCCACGAGTACCGCAACGGAGCCTCCATCCACGAGTTCTGCATCAACCTCAAGCAGCTCTACGGGGACAGCAGGAAATTCCTGCTCCTGGGTGAGTGCAGGAGAGCTCCAGAGGTGGGAACTGGGTGCTAAGGGACGGGCAGTGGGATGGGACTGAGGGGGGAAAGGGTCGGGGCACAGGGAGGCCTTGGGGTCACCACATGAGGGGAATATCTCAATCCACCACTCCCGTGGAGATTCCTCCTTCCTGGGCCATCTGTCCCAGCTTATCCTGGTTTGAGTCCCTGCCCTGGAGCTGTTCCCTGTTCTCTCCTGGCTGTGGAACACCTGGGAACCTCCTGCCAACCTGGGAATCTCTCCCAGACCTGGGAACCTCCTCCAGAGCAAGGGAATCTTCTCCAGACCAGGGAACTTAATCCAAACCTGGGAAATCTCCAGGCCAGGGAATCTCCTCCCAACCTGGGAATTTCCTCCAGACCTGGGACATTTAAATAACCTGAGCTTAAACACCTGGATCCTCTCACCTGGCCTTTACTATCCAAGGAAAAACAGGCCAGGAGTTTAAAATCCTGACAGGATAGGAACAGTTTGTCTGACCGCACCCAGGGCCTCCCTCCTGGCCTCTAATATCCAAGGAAAACAGACCAGGAATTTAAAATCCCCCCAGGACTGAAGCAGTGTGTCTCACCTGGGCCCTGCTGGCCCCTGGGGACACCGAGGGGACAGGGCAGATGTCCCTGATGGGACAAATTATCGGCATAAGCTCAGCAAAGCCGAGCAAGGAGTCAGGTGAGGAATTAGATCCTTTGGAGTTCGGAAAATGCCCCTTGAGCCGGATTTTGCCCTCAGTGGGCGGTGGCTGCAGGTCCCAGGTGTGAATGGGAGACCCTGGAGCTCCCCATCCCCCCAGAGAGGCTCCCGGGCTCTCCCGGAAGGCTCCGGAGCCTCGGGAACACCGTGCGGTGAGGAACCCCACGGATACCTGCCCCGAGCGTCCCGCACTCCAGCCCCGTCCGTGCTCTCTCCCGGCTCCAGGCCTGCGTCCCTTCATCCCGGAGAAGGACAGCCAGCACTTCGAGAACTTCCTGGAGACCATCGGGGTGAAGGACGGGCGCGGGATCATCACGGACAGCTTCGGGCGCTACCGCCGCTCCCTCGGCGCCGCCTCCGCCTCCAACGGCACCGGCGCCGCCGGCAGCTCCGACGAGCAGTCGGTGCCCTCGGAGGAGGACGAGTGGGACAGGATGATCTCCCACATCAGCAGCGACATCGAGGCGCTGGGCTGCAGCCTGGACAGGGACTCGTCCTGAGGGAACGGGGCTGGACACGGGGGGGCCGGGACACGGAGCTGCCCCGGGGGGATCCCGGCCCGGCCCTCGGAGGGACACCGGGACACGGAGGTGCCTTTGGGGGGGACGTGGAACATGGACCTGCCCCTGGGGGGAACACGGAGCTGCCCTTGGAGGGACACCACGATGGGGAGCTGCTCCTGAGGAGAACACGGAGCTGCCTTTAGGGGAGACATGGAGCTGCCCCTGGGGGTACCCTGGGACATGGAGCTGCCCCCAGAGGGGGACATGGAACATGGAGCTGCCCCTGGGGGTACCCCGGGACATGGAGCTGCCCCCAGAGGGGGACATGGAACATGGAGCTGCCCCTGGGGACCCCGGATTGGCCCTCAGAGGGACCCAAGAACACCAACCTGTGCCCTCAGGGAGGGTCCCAGAACATGGATCCTTCTGCAGGTCCTGGGGGCTCCAGCTGGATGGATTCACTCTCCTGGCCTCAGAAACAGCTCCAGGGGCAGGAACGGCTCCGGTGTGGATTTGGGGGGCAGAGCTGGATATGGGGTTTGGATTTTTGGGGACAGATCTCTTTCTGAGCATCGAGGTTTCCTTCCAAGGGGATGGATCTCCCCAGAGGATGGATCTGCTCTCAAGCATCCAGATCTCTTCCTGAGGGGCCGGACCCGCTCCCTCCCCAGGTTACAGTTTTCCACAGCAGGCCCCCCATCCCCCCCCCCCGACCCCCCAATGAAGTTTTGCCACAATGTGAATCATTTCACCCTCTCGGCCCTGCTGTCGGAACATTCTGGAACATTCTGGCTCCCCCAGTCTGGGATTTCCCACAATCACCCCCTGCCCATCCTGGTGGGGGCAGGAGCTCAGAGGGGGCTGCTGGGGCACCCCAGGACCCCCAGAGCTGATCCAAGACCCCCCTTCTATCTGCACCCCCTCATAGGAGTCCCACCTTGAGAGGGGGGCCCCAGTTAATCCCACAGCCACACCAGTGGGGTGCTGCCCCCTCCATGGGTGCCCGGGGGGGGGGGGTGATGGGCCCCTCCACCCAGAGGCAGACGCTGACTCAGCAGTTTGGGGGATCCCGCAGCTCCAGCACATTCCAACGGCTTCAGCCCCAAATCCCCCGCAGTGCCTTTAACCCCTCTGCTCCCAGTGCCCACCAGTTCACCAGCACCCTCATAGAATCATAGAATAGATTGGGTTGGAAAAGACCTCCAAGATCATCAAGTCCAACCCCTGATCCAACTCCAATTACTATATCATGGCACTAAGGGCCACGTCCAATCTCTTTTTAAAAACCTCCAGGGATGGTGAATCCACCACCTCTCTGGGTAGGCTGTTCCACTGCTGTGTCCCCAGTTCATCAGCTGCCTTAACTGGTGTGTCCCCAGTTCACCAGCTCCCTTAACTGGTGTGCTCCCAGTTCACCAGCTCCCTTAACTGGTGTGCTCCCAGTTCACCAGCACCCTTAACTGGTGTGTCCCCAGTTCACCAGCA